GCGGGCACGGCGAGCGCTGGCGTTCCGACTGCGCGACCATCGGGCTGAGAACCGACTGCCTGAAGGGCGCGGGAGTGTACCTCGCCCACTACTCCTACCAGTCGGAGCAGCGGATGGAGCTCAAGGCGAAGCGGGGACACACGTCGGGCAAGGCGGTCCTCGCGAGGCGCCCGCCCGCCCTCTACGAGCGCATCGTCGACACGAGCGTCTCCGCGGCCGTCGACGATCGCATCCGCAGCATCGTCTACGCGCCGCTCCGCCGCTGCCTGACGACCCTCTTCGCCGCGGCGGAGGCGCCCGCGCCGCGGCCGCCGCTGCCTGACGACCCTCTTGGCCGCGGGCTCGACGCGAGCGCGGCCAACCTGAGTGCGGCGCCGCGCTTCGTCGTCGCGAGTGCGGCCAACCTGAGTGCGGTCGAGCGCGCGGCGTGCGCGCACGAGGCGTCGCCGCGCGTCGCAGTGCCGAGCCCGGCGCGGCCGTTCATCTTCTTCCACCTGCGCAAGTCGGGCGGCTCCGAGTTGCGCGAGGCGCTGGTGCGCGCGGCCGAGACTCTGCGGCTCTCGCACTACATCCCGTGCTACGCTCACCGGGCCGGCTCGTGGCTGCAGCCCGGCAAGGAGCTCGCCGGTCAGCGCTCGAACTCCGCCGCACGTCGCGGCTGCCACACGTACGGAACCGACTCTCTGCTCTCGCGGCCGCGGGCGGCACCGCCGAGCGAGCTTCCTTTCGGGCAGTCGGCGCCCGCGCTGTACGCAGGCCACATGCCCTTCCTCGTGAGTCAATCGCTCGGCGCGTTCGGCTGGACGCAGGGGGGGGGCGTCGCCAGCAGCCCGAGCGACGGCCACTTCGATTGCGTGCTGCTCGTGCGCGAGCCGGTCGCGCGCTTCCGGTCGTGCTACAATGAGCGTCTGGCGCCTACGCTCGACGGGCGCGACCTCGGCAATCTGACCGCAGAAGAGCTGCGTGGCGCCGTTGGCCGCACCGATGGCATGCACACGTGCGTCAATGAGATTGCGCGGTGGGTGGCGCCAACGTCGGGGTGGGGCGAGCGGCGCAACTCTCGCGCCGGGCTCTATCTCGACGCGGACGAGCTCGCGGAGGCACGGCGGCGGATCGACTCGTGCGTGGTGGCCGACCTGGTGGACGCGTGCTCGCAGACCGTTGGGCTGCTCGCGTACCACTTCCCGTGGCTCGCGCCCACAGGTGACAGATCTGCCGAATATCTCCCGACTCTAAAAGCCGCCCGAAGGAGCGCCGCCTCAACACGGGGTCTCGGCTCTATCCAGCCATGCTAGCTCCAGCCGCAGCCCCACCCGGCCGCCCGAGGGTGTCCCCCCAGGCAGAGAAGACTAATCCTGGGGGAAGCAACCGAACAGCCGCTGTGCGGCTGTGGCTGTCACGCTTTCACAATTTGTCACGGAGGGAGCGTCTCCCATTTATGCAACACCAGCTCAGTGAGAGAGCGAGAAACCACGAGACAGGGGAAGATGCAAAACACACTTCACTCTTCAGGCGACAGGCGCCTTCAATGGAAGGTTCCTTTACATGCAAACGTACAGTCGGGGGTCGGAGGCACGTGGAGGAAGGCTCACGTGCCACCACCTGACCCCCCCGCAGTCCACCACTGCACAACTGCCCTCGCTGTTATCGTCTCTCCCTCTGCCGCCCCATCGCCAGAAGCTTCACGGGTTGGGAGGTGGAGCGCGAAAGCACACACCGGAAACCCTGACCTGCTCGGTGCAGTAAAAGCTGGCCGCACCCTTGTTGGTCGAAAGCTTCACGAGGGCGTTGGCCAGGAGGAACTCGTCAGCCAATAATCTGTCCGCAATGGCGCGTGAAGCCGCACTCAGGTTCGTCTGTCCAGAGGACGCATGGCTCATCGTCGGGTTGTGGCTTCCACAGCTTGAGTTGTGCGCATGATGACCACGGCTACCGAGCCAAACGAGCAGCTCTCTCATATCTGCCTCGAGAGTCTCTGTGGCCACGGCAAATATGTCGCCGCGAGCAGCTCGTCTCTGCAGGGCGCACGTGGTTCCAGCCCAGTAGAAGCAAAACCCCTTATCAACATGGGCCAAGTTGAACGCGCAAGTTTTGCCTGCACAAGCATGTGAGTTTCTTGGCCATGGTGCAGACAGCTGCGCTGCTGTGAGATCGCACTGATTGGCATGCGAAGGGCGGCGGTTGTTCAGCGTCGCATAGCGCTGCAGCAGCTCGTCAGCAGACGCCCAGCAGGCACTACGAGAGTCACTATGAGAGGCACTTTCTTCGACCCACATGTTGTAGGAGGAGATGAACCTGGCCACCGGATTGCGGACCGTGACCACGATCAAAGGGCTCCTGCTGGGATCAATCAGAATTGCTGCTGGTGGGGCAACGACGTGTACTTCATTGACCACGACACACTTGTGTCTCAGGAAGTCGTGTAAGCTTCCAGAGCCTGTCTTTCCTACACGCACGACCATAGGCGTACCGGCTGAATACTTTGTATGTAATTGAACCCCTGGCAATCCACGAAGTCCAGGCATAACTTTACTGCTCATATTGGTGGAGTTCGGTTCAGCCATTGACATGAGAACCCCATGTGCTTGAGATAGCGTGCACTCGTTGCTCACCCTGGGGCAAACTGATGGCGCGTGTTCCAGCAAATGGGACGGTCTAGCAAGTGTGACGCTGCCAAGTTTGTCCGCTTGCTCGTTTGTGCAAAAGGCCCTGAACACGCGCTTTGCGTCTGGCTTTGCGAGCAGGTAGCTCGCGTTGAGCGAGCAAAGCACAATCTTTTCAGTTAGAGGCTTCTCCAGCGAATGGAAGACTTGCGTTGCCGAGGTGCGCCAGCGCATCTCCATGCTCACCGCCCGGTTCTCCACCTGCGCCCAGTCTGTGCACGAGTACTCTGGGGCTTGTCCTTGTGTCCCCAGGCAGCCTGCAGAGGCAAGAGCAGATACCATGGCTCGAAAAGATTTGCCGCGCTCGCCAGCTTTAGGAAGGGAGCAGTTATCGCCACTAGCAGCCTTGTAGTATGCCCAGGCCACATTCCCGATGGGGTTCGGGTAGTCGGATCTCGAATTGCTCTCACCGGTCGAGGTGCCTGAGCGCCACTTTGACTCCTTGCAAAACGGCACGCGCATGATATCGCACGCCACAACGTCTGCCTGGTCGAAGCCCTTTTCTTTCGCGCCGGCCAGGTCAATGACCATCGTTTCGAATCCCTCATCCCGATAGGCCTTGACCACAACCGGCAGCTTCTCAGCCAGCGCGTCCACGGTCTGCGGCACAAATTCGTCAAACAGAAGCGAGGGAGGCTGCAGGTGCATCTCAACAGTTGGGCCACTCCCCTCCATATGCTGGTTGTATGTGCTGCGCGCCCAGCTCAAGAGTGGCGTGCGGTACACGATCACCGCTGACAGCCGCTGGTAGCCGGCTTCCTTGAACGCATGCGCAAGCAGCGGTGCGTAGGTCGGATTACCGAAAGCCTCGTCCGACACGATCAAGTTGGGTGCGTCGCTTTGTGCAATTCTCGCAAACTCATCTTTCCACCACTGAAGGATGACCGCCTCCACTGCCGCGTCATCTCCGGTTGCCAGTGTGCGACGCAGTGCTGAGTCGATATTGGTACATTCCCTGCCGAGTTGCCGTGCGCGTGCCAGCTGCGTTCTTTCCTTATCTATAGTGCTGGCTCCGCAGACTTCGTGGTCTTGCGTCTGCTGGTGGCATGGCTTCAGGACATATCGAAGTGACCCGGACCATTTGCCTCCAAGCCTCGCAGTTGTCTGGGCACGGCAGCTTTCGCCAAAGAGACTCGGGTATGTCCAGCCATAGGACTTGAGGCGCTGCGCATTTGTGGCGAAGAATGCTTGCAAGTGTGTTGTACCTGTTTTTGCAGGCCCTACGTGCAGCAAGGCATGCGGACCAGGTGGGTTGCCCGCAGCGAAACTGATCGTGTGGATCTCGGCGTTGTCCAAGGCCGCGCGCGTCGCGCTCACGCGGTGGCTCCACCCGGGCGCAAAAGGCGGGAACGGTGGGGAGGGTGGCGGCGTTGGTGGCATCGGCGTGTCGGCGTCGAGAATAGCCGTGCCGGCTGCGTGGCATGCGCCGACGGCGGTGCACGCCAACGCGAAAACCGACGAGGCGCGCATGAGCCAGCGGGCGGCGACGCGGTTGCGTCTGGCTCAAAAGAATTCAACAAATGAATCTCCCGCGCAGCACACAGGTTCGACACAGGTACCAAAAGAGGCACAGCCTGCGACGGACCTTTAGAAGGCGCCGTCGTCCTCATGGAGGTGGGCACGATCGGGGGGACAGTCGAATCCGCGAGCACCGTAGTGCTCGCCGAAAAGACCATCCCCATCATCCCAACCCCCCCGGCGACCCCCTCGCCGCTTGCCCCGCCAGCGGGCACTGCGCGACCCACCCCCGCGCCCTCGACCGCGCCCCCCGCCAGGAGCATATCGCATCACCACCGCCCGATCCTCGTCGAAGAGCAGAATCTTTCCCGCCTTCACCAGCTCCTTCCACCCCTCCGTGTCCTGCAACGTCGTGGCGCCAGCCCATAGCTCCGGCCCTCCGTCGCAACATCCCGGCCCCTGTTCCGGCATAGCGTCCAAAGCCGCCCTAAACCTAGGGCAGCGCGCCGCGTCCCATGCCGCCTTCTCAGCCGCCTGGATAGCCGCCCACTGGGCAACCGAGTAGTGGGAGGGGCGAGATTGGCGAGCAGTGTGTGTGTGTGTGTGTGTGTGTGTGTGTGTGTGTGTGTGTGTGTGTGTGTGTGTGTGTGTGTGTGTGTGTGTGTGTGTGTGTGTGTGTGTGTGTGTGTGTGTGTGTGTGTGTGTGTGTGTGTGTGTGTGTGTGTGTGTGTGTGTGTGTGTGTGTGCGTGCGTGCGTGCGTGCGTGCGTGTGCGAGCCGCCCTGAACGCCACGAGCAAAAACACACACAGTATAGTAGTCCCGGGTAATCCCGGATAATCTCCGGTAATCTCGGGTAATCTCGGGTAATCTCGGGTAGGATGGGGGACCTCAGCGCGCCGATCAACTCTGAGCGCCAGCAGGACACGTCTCGCAGCCGCTCGCGCTGGTGGTCGCGGCCGGCGCGCGCCACCGTCGAACCGCTAGTCGCCTCTCCTGACGCGGCCTCTGACGATGGTTCGGCCGCCGCTGGCAAAGCGGTCCGGCCTGGCCTCACGGTGGGCAAGGTGTTTGCGCTCTCCTCGCAGGAGAGGCCGGTGCTGCTGCTCGCCGTGCTCCTCCGCCTCGGCTCCGAAGGCTGCTCATTTGCGAGCCCGCTCATCCTCGCCACAGCGTACGACGCGGTGGTGGAGTCGTACGGCCACGAGGAGCGGGGCGACGCGACGCGGGAGGTCATCCTCCGCACCTTCACGTGGGTGCTTGCGCTGCACGTGGCCGGCCAGGCACTCGGTTTCCTCTCCGGCTTCGCGACCGGTCTCTCGGGCGAGCGCGTCGTCTCGCGGCTGCGGCGGCGGCTGTACGAGCACCTGCTGCGGCAAGAGATGGGCTTCTTCGACGCGCAGAAGAGCGGGGACCTGGTCTCGCGGCTCGGCTCGGACACGCTGCTGCTGCAGCAGGCCACGATAGAGAGATAGGTCGGAAGGCGAAACACAGTCCGACCAATGACTGACGGGCGGTGGCAGTCACACACAAGGAGCGACACACGGAACCACAAGACAAGACACCCAGCCAACAGGGCTGCCACACTTCCTGAGCGAACTTCCCTAGGCCACGACGTCCTCGCCTCACGACTTCTTCATATCCCCATATCTCCCCATATCTCCCCATATCTCCCCACAGGCCACGACGTCCTCGCCTCACGACTTCTTCATATCCCCATATCTCCCCATATCTCCCCATATCTCCCCACAGGCCACGACGTCCTCGCCTCACGACTTCTTCATATCCCCATATCTCCCCATATCTCCCCATATCTCCCCACAGGCCACGACGTCGTCGCTGAACGACTTCTGCATATCTCCCCGTATCTCCCCATATCTCCCCGTATCTCCCCACAGGCCACGACGTCGTCGCTGAACGGCTTCTGCATATCTCCCCGTATCTCCCCATATCTCCCCATATCTCCCCACAGGCCACGACGTCGTCGCTCAACGACTTCTTCATCGGCATTGTCAAGGTCGTCGGCGGGGTCACGCTCATGTTCATAGCCGTGCGCTGGCCGAGGGCCCCGATCGCTACCCTCTCTTCACACACCCCGGCTGTGAACAGGTTCATAGTGAGCTGGCAGATGACGCTGATCGCCTTCCTCTCGCTACTTGGCTGGCTCGTGCTGGTCTGCTTGCCCGGGATGAGGCGCGTGTCCCGCCTCACCATCTCGGCTAATCTGGGCTAATCTGGGCTAATCTCGGCCGATCTCCCCGTTTGCCCGGAATGAGGCGCGTGTCCCGCCTCACCATCTCGGCTAATCTGGACTAATCTGGGCTAATCTCGGCTGATCTCCCCGTTTGCCCGAGGCGCGTGTCCCGCCTCATATCTCCCCACATCTCCCCACATCTCCCCACATCTCCCCTCATCACCCTAGGCTCGTGTCCCGCCTCACCAAGCAGTACCAGGCTGCGCTCGCCCGCGCGTCGGTCGCGTCGACTGAGTCGCTCGGCACGGGGCCCTAGTAGTCTTAATTAATTAAGGGTTAATTAAGGGTTAATTAAGGGTTCCAGGCGACGCCGCTCGAGCCCTTCATTAAGCTTAAACCACAAGCCTCTCGCACAGCACACTAGGGTTCGGTACTCTGGAGGTATGGGAGTCATCACGTGGGCATGATGCGCACCGTCCGCTGCTAGATGCAACCTCCCCAGATCTCGAGCATCTCTCCCCACACGTAGGCATGATGCGCACCGTCCGCTGCTTTGCGGCGGAGACGCTCGAGGTGGGGCGGTACCAGGACTGCATCGGGGCATCTCTTGGAACCTTCCCTGAGCCTTCGCAGAACCTTCCGATAGGTGGGGCGGTACCAAGACTGCATCGGGGCGCCGACGGGCCGCGAGTGGTGGCCTTCGGCGGGCGACACCACCTACCGCCACGGGGCGTTCAAGTCGGCCGCAGGCACGGCTCTCACCTCGTCTCCCCACATCTCCCCACATCTCCCCACATCTCCCCACATCTCCCCCCATCTCCCCACATCTCCCCACATCTCCCCCCACCTCCCCCAACTTCCGGAGGAATGGCCCTAACCTCGTCCGGCTTCGCGGTCATCTTTGGCGCCTTGCAGGTGAGCGTGGGCGTCGGCTTCTGGCTGATCACCTACGGCCAGCTGCAGTTCGGCAAGCTCACCGCGTTCCAGTCCTACCAGATGCAGGCCCGCCCGACTCCGGCCCGGCTACACGTACGACGGTTGGCTGTGTCTGACTATGCGGAACTTGGCATAGATCGTGATGGGGATTGGTCAGCTCGCCTCCTCCGCCATGTCGCTGGGGCAGGCCATCGGAGGCGCCATATCTCCCATATATCTCCCCACATCTCCCCACATCTCCCCACACCTCCCCACACCTCCCCACACCTCCCCACACCTCCCCGCACCTCCCCACACCTCCCCACACCTCCCCACACCTCCCCACCTCTCCCCACACCTCCCTGGGCCAAATGAGGTGCCACCAAGATCTTCCAGCTACTTGACCGCGAGCCGCGGCTACCAACCGGCGGCGGGCAGTCGCCGGCAGAGCCGATGCGCGGCGAGATCGCCTTCGAGGGCGTCGTGTTCGCCTTCCCGACGGCAGAGGACGTCCCCGTGCTGCGTGGCTTCACCCTGTCTGTGAAGGCTTTGTCGACACGCGGCGCTGGCTGTACGGGTGGGGCATTGCTGAGCTCTCGGCTGTGCGCGCACGCACTCTCAGGCCGAGTCGACGGTCGCGCTGGTGGGGTCGAGCGGCTGCGGCAAGAGCACAACCCTCTCTCTGCTGCTGCGCTTCTACGACCCGCAGCGAGGCGCGATCACGATCGACGGCCACGGGGTGGGGGACCTCGACCAGGTGTGGCTGCCTCCCCACATCTCCCCACATCCCCCCACATCTCCCCACATCTCCCCACATCTCCCCACATCCCCCCACATCTCCCCACATCTCCCCACATCTCCCCACATCTCCCCATATCTCCCCACATCTCCCCACATCTCCCCACATCTCCCCACATCTCCCCTTGAGATGTGGGCCACCTCGACCAGGTGTGGCTGCGGTCCCAGATGGCGCTGGTGCAGCAGGCGATCTCCCCATCTCTCCCCATCTCTCCCCCCCTCTCCCCCGTGGCTGCGGCCCCAGATGGCGCTGGCGCAGTGGGGTCCGCCCCTAGCTGGCGAGGAATGACTCACTCACGCGTAGTTCTTGCGGGCGCAAGAGGAGCCGCCCCCCGCCACACGCCCTCAGCTGCTGGCGAGTAGCGGCTACCCACTCCCCACCAGCCCTTCTATTCATGGGCGCACCAGGAGCCGCTCCTCTTCGGTCTCTCCGTCGAGGAGAACGTCGGCTACTCCCTGTCCGCGGCGCGCGCGCGCGAAGGCGGGGGGCGGGTCGACTTTAACGACGCCGCCGTCCGCGCGCGCGTAGAGGAGGCGTGCCGCCGCGCCAACGCGCACGAGTTTGTGGGCGGCCTCTCTGACGGGTGCGAGACGTTGTCGGGATGGCGCGGCATCTGTTGGAACCGTCCCTGAGCCTTCTCGGAACCTTCCGACAGGTGGGGCGGTACCAGGACTGCATCGGGGCATCTGTTGGAACCGTCCCTGAGCCTTCTCAGAACCTTCCGATAGGTACGCGACGCTGGTCGGAGAGCGCGGCATCAAGCTGTCCGGCAGGCAGACACTTCCGAGACACGTCCGAGACACTTCCGAGACATGTCAGGCATCAAGCTGTCGGGCGGGCAGAAGCAGCGCGTCGCCATCGCGCGCGCCCTGCTCGCGGAGCCGCGCGTGCTGCTGCTCGACGAGGCGATCTCCCCACATCTCCTCACACCTCCCCACATCTCCCCACACCTCCCCACACCTCACCACACCTCCCCACACCTCCCCATATCTCCCCACATCTCGCCACATCTCCCCGCATCTCCCCGCATCTCCCCACACCTCCCCATATCTCCCCACATCTCCCCACATCTCCCCACACCTCCCCACACCTCCCCACACCTCCCCATACTCCCCACATCTCGCCAC